ACTCTCTCTCTCTCTCTCTCTCTCTCTCTCTCTCTCTCTCTCTCTCTCTTTTGCCTGACAGATTGCTATTCAGCTCTCAGCTTCAAGGCCACTCCCTCCTCTGGGAAGTCATTGCTGAGCTTTTGCACTAGGGGATCCCTTCTGCCCATTCAATACCCCACCTCCTTGTCTTTTTTTCCCATGTTCCCAGCACAGACTCTAAGTATTTATTTAATATCTCTCCTCTTTGGTAGATTGCAGTTCTCAAGAAAATGGGGACTGTGTCTGTCTGGTTTCTGGAATCACAGTGTCAAGTACAGAGGCAGCATGTATTAAATACATAACTGTACAAATGATTGAATATAGAGATCCTGGGTTGACCTTTTCAGGAAGTTTGACATTAGAAAACTGGGTTGTCCCTTATCTATAGTATTTTCCCACCACACCTCACTCCTCAAATGGAAATTTTTACCTATGTTCACCTTGCTCAAATGTTTCCATGTAACAGGACATGGAAACATTTGAGCTTCTCTGTAAGCTTACTCCTGGCCTCATACTGTAACTTGTGTTAAGCTATAAGTACCTTGAGAGTAAGGACTGTTACATAACTTACAACTCCTACAATTCTCTATGTATTTTGTTTATTTAATAGATATGTAGGGTTTTTGTTTTTTTTAAATCACCAACCCTTGGTTTTTTTTGTTTTCAGTGAGCTACTGTACTGGGTGTGTGGTCATAACTCATTATGCTTTTTTTAAAACTCCATAATACTAATAAAACTAAACATTTTCTGTGCTTATTGGCTATTTGTGTATCTTCTTTTGTGGGGTTACCTTTTGTAAGAGTTGGGTTTTTTAAATTGAGGTACAATTGACATATCACATTGTATTAGTTTTAGGTGTCCAGCACAGTGATTTGATATTTGTATAAACTGCAGAATAGTCACCAAAGTAAGTCTAGTCAAGATCCATCACCACCCATATTACACATTTTTTCCCTTGTGATGTGAAGTTTTATGATCTACTCTTAGCAATTTTCAAGTATACAATACAGTATTGTTAACTACAGTCACCATGCTATACATTACATCTCCAGAACTTATTTATTATAGATACTTGGTAAATAAATGAATTTAAAAAATTTTTTAATTGGGTAGAAGAAACCCTAGGAAGAAGTGTAGAGGCATCACTCAAGTGGTGGGAGGAAGGCCAGGAGCGTGTGGGGCTGCAGGAGACTCATGGTGTCACACGTCAGTCAGAACCCGTGAATGTACAGAGTGGATCCTACAGTAGACTGTGGAGTTTGGATAATAATGACGTATCAATGTAGGTTTATCTGTTGTAACCATTCTGGTGTTAGATGTTGATAGTTGGGGAGGCCATGTAGATGTGGGGCCCAGGGTATATGTGAAATCTCTGTACTTCCACTCAGTTTTACTCTGAACCTAAAACTGCTGTGAAAAGACTAAGTCTATTAAAAAAAAAAAGGCCAAAGCAAAGAACATTCAAGGAGGAGCATGTATATGGTCAGCAGAGTCAATGGTTGCTGAGGCTGGGACCAGGATGGATATATGTCCCTGGCTTGGTGATGTGGTTACATTGGTCACGTTGGTGAGAACGGTTTCTGCTGAGTGGTGAGGGCGAGAGGCAGGTGGAGAAGGTGTAAGTGAGTGGAAGGAGTACCAAAGACCCTTTCAGGAAGCTTGGCTGTTGGTGGTGGAAGAGCATCAGGTAGGTAGGGCAAGCGCTCATCTCTTGCCAAAGGGACTATCGAACATGTGATCAAGCCTTTGGATTTAGTTCTAAATTCTGGTGACAGAGGAACCTACTGACTGCCCCATGGATGTGCAATTAGCAGAATCCAGGCAGCAAGAAACCCAACAGGTGAAATGCCTCAGGTTCCTTAGTTAATAACTTGAGGGAAAGACAGGGCTAGAGGAATGACCTGGAGATTTCAAAAAGCTTTTAAAAGACACATCACATTTTTAAAAATTAGCAAGTCTAAACTATAACGGCTAGGGATGCCCATTTGGGTGGTAAAATTGAAAAGAAAGGCATAGAAGCAATTACTGTAAAAATCAGGAGGGTTGTTACTTTTGAGAAAGGAGGGAGCTATGATTGAGTCAGAGCACGAGGGGATTTCTAGTTACAAGGGTATTTGCATTATTATAACTCATTAAATCATTAAACTCCAGAGGAAGAAGTAGTCTGTGTGGCTGTGAAGGAAAGAATGTGGAGGGAGCATGAAACTGAGAAAGGAGCGTGTGTGCGTCTAACAAAGGCATAAGCAGGCAGGAACCACTGCAGTGGTCATTCTTGCCCCTATCCCTACATTGCTCCACATTCACAAGCCCTTTCTCTTCTGTGAGGCAGAAAGGGCAAGGGTTATTCTCTCCATTTTATGGTTGGGAGAACTGAGTCCTGTGTAGGTAACTTGCTCCAAATCACACTATTTATCAAGGATAGAGGCTGCCCAGAACCCAGGCCTCCTGCCTCCAGTCCCAGCCCAGGAATGAGTGCTGCCATTCTCTGCAGGAATCACTGAGATTCTGATGAACAGACCGAGTGCCTGCAATGCCCTGGGGAATGTCTTGGTCAGCCAGGTGAGAAAGGGTGGGCACCGGGGTGAGTGTGGCTAGGCTGGGAAGTATCTGATGGTGTTTCCTGTACAGCTGCTAGAAGCTCTGGCCCAGCTTCGGGAGGATCAGCAAGTGCGTGTCCTGCTCTTCAGAAGTGGAGTGAAGGGTGTGTTCTGTGCAGGTGGGTTTCCTTCCCTGCCCCTCACCCCAGAGCTCAGAGGGCTCCCACCAGGGTGTGGGGGCTGGGGGCTTAGGTCTAACTAGCATAGGACTCATAATTTGCATTTTACAGATGTAAACTCAAAGACTCAGAATTCTTTGCCTAGGGTTACACAGCTAGTAAGAGGGAAAATAGAATTCAGTTTGAACTTGGCCTCTCTGACCCCCAGATCCTTGTTCCTTCTGCTACACTGATCCATTCTGATCCTTCATTGAGAAAATGAGAAAATTGAATCCAAAGATGTTCACAAGATCTGTGACCAAGATGGGACTCTGTGGCCCTTTGCCAACCCACAGGATCTCAGTTGCTATCACCAAAGGTCTCCACTGTCCTTGGGCCCTTTGGTCCTCATCCATGAACTTCCATTTCAAAGACAAGAAATACCAAATCCGAGGCCCACCCCAAGAAGCAAGTGAATGAGAGCTAAGAACTGACTGTGGAGTGGTTGGGGAGGGGCAACCGGGGTTACTGGGGAAGAGGAAGAGGCCATGAAGGGTTAGGATGGGAGTGGTGTGATTTTCAGTTTTCAAGGGTGTGTGGCTCAGTCCTTAGGTTTGAGCATTCAGGATCACTGTGTCCAGCTTGGGGTCCCTGGCGGGACAAGTATGCAGCTGGGGTGCCTGACCCTTACCCTACCCTGGCCTCTTCTTCAGCTCCATCTCTGCCTGACCTCCTCTGTCAAGGTCACTGCACGCTCCCTATTAGCCCCACTCCTCACTATCCCAGCTAGGCAGAGGAAGTAGGGAGGCTGCAGGAAGGCTGGGACTGCCCTGACTTGCTATGGAATCCTGGGATAGTCTCTGTGTCTCTCTGGACCTCAGTTTCCCATCTGTCACTGAAGGGCTGGAACTAATCAGACTTCCAAGGGCTCTCCCAACTCTGACTTCCTAGAGTCTAGGACTTGAAGAGGTTATATTCACCCCCTACTCCCGCCTCAGCCCCCTGCCATCTGGCCTTTGCCAACACCACCATGATCACTGTTCTCACTGAGGTCCTTGCTCGCCTCCATGCCTCTGTATCCAGCACTGGCTTCTCAGTCCTCATCTTACCTGACCTCTCAGCCTCATTGGACCCTGAGATCTCAAACCCCTCCTTTTAAAAAATAATCCATTATCCAGTGATGTATGTCAATTATCTCTCAATACAACTGGAGAAAATCAATAAATGTTTATATATTTTTACAATGATGGCAAATATATACATACAAAAATTTACATTTTAACCATGTTAAAGTGTAAAATTCAGTGACATTAAGTACATTCACAAGATTGTGTAACTATTGCCACTGTCAATTCCTAGAAATTTTTCATCATTGTAGATAAACTCTGTACCCATTAAGAAATCCCTCTAACTCACCCTCCCTTTCAGCCCCTGGTTAACCTCTGTTCTATTTTTTATCTGTATGAATTTGCTTATTCTAGATCTCTTACACAAGTGGAATCTTGCATTTGTCCTTTTGTGTCTAGCTTATTTCACTTAGCATAATGTCCTCAAGGTTTACTCATGTTTATAGCACATCAGAACTTTGCTCCTTTTTATGGCTGAATAATATTCCATTATATATATATACCACATTCTGTTTATTCATCCGTTAATGAACACTGGGTTGTTTATACCTTTTAGCTATTGTGAATAATGTTGGTATGAACACTGACGTTCAAGTATCTGTTTGAATCCTTGTTTTCAGTTCTTTTGGATATATGCTTACAAGTGGTAAGTTGTAAATTGCTGGATCATAATGGTAATTCTACATTTAACTTTTTGAGGAACTGCCAAAATGTTTTCCACAGCAGCTGCATTATTTTACATTCCTACCATCAATGCACCAGGGTTCTCCACATCCATGCCAACACTTGCTTTGTTTCTGTTTTTGTGTATAATAGCCATCCTGAAAGGTGTGAAGTGGTGTCTCACTCTGGTTTTGGTTTGCCTTTCCCTGATGACTAATGATGTTGAGCCTCTCTTCATGTGCTTATTGGCCATCTGTGTGTCAGTCTTCTCTGGGGAAATGTCTGTTTAAGTCCTTTGTCCTTTATGGGGTTTTTGTTGTTGAGTTGTAGGAGGTCTTTATAAATGCTAGATATGAATCCCTTATCAGGTAAGTGATTTGCCAACATTTTCTTCTGTTCTGTGGGTTGTCTTTTCCCTCTCTTGATAGTGTCCTTTGCTGCACAGAAGTTATTGATTCTGATGTTTATCTCCTTTTTTGCCTCACTCCCCCTTCCTCCCTGCCTTCCTTGACCATGTTTTCCTGCAATTTCTTCTTCCTCTCTGGTTGCTTCTGCTCAGATTGCCTTTGCTGGATAGTTTAAGAGCCTGGCATTTGGTAATGGGTCATTTCCCAAGAGCTGTCACCAATCCTCACCATCCGCAGGTGCAGACCTGAAGGAGCGGGAGCAGATGAGTGAGGCGGAGGTAGGGGTCTTCATACACCGGCTCCGAGGCTTGATGAATGAGATTGGTGAGGGTCCTGGTGTGCGGTGGAGGAGGGCATTCAGGGGCCCTGCTGATCCCCATCCCATCCCTTCCACCATCCTCTACTATATAAAAGGACAGTTTCTGTTGTGAGCTCTTTGGAAAGACAGATGACTTCCTATGGAAATGGGTACAAGGAATTCTACAAACAGGGGGGTGACAAGAGGGTTCAGAGGGTATTTATCCCAGAGGGGGGTCTGGCTCCTCAGCCTTTGTGCCCGGCTAGTTCTGACTCCCAAACCCGTGCTCTCAGGGTTCAAGTCTAGCTATTCCAGAGGAGTCAGGTTTCACCAAGCATACTTTCAGGCTTTGACGGTGGCTGTTCCTTTTGCCTGGAATATTCCTCCTTGGCTGCCTGAACTTTTTACTCATCCTTGAAGACCACCAGTGTCTCCTCCGGGAAGCCTTCCTAACCTATCCCCCAAGCTCCATCAGAGCACTGATCACCCTGGGTAATCATTACCTGTTTGCAGGTCTGCCTTCCCCATGTCTGATCCAAGTCTGTGCTTCCAGTACCAAATGGAAGGGCCTTAGCATGCAGACTGAGGAAGGAGAGCAGAAATGTCCTCCTGGGGTGGCCGTGGGGAGTGGGCCTGAACAGGGATCATCCAGCCCGTCCCCCCACTGTGGGTCCCCAGATGACCCCACAACTTTCCACGATGGAAAAACCAGCTTCTAAGATAACCTGGGTTTGGTACCAGGCGAGGTCCCCAAACCTGGAACCAATGAGGCCCTTTGTCCCAGCTAGCTCCTCCCCAACCGCAGGTCCCTGCCCTGGTCCTGCCAGGGCCTCTCAGGCCGAGCCCTTCTTCATCTCCACAGCAGCCTTCCCTGCGCCCACCATTGCAGCTATGGATGGGTTTGCCTTGGGTGGAGGCCTGGAACTTGCCCTGGCCTGTGATCTCCGAGTGGCAGGTACTGAGCAGGGGGAGGGGTGGGATAGGATGGGGAGGAAATGGTGAGTGAACAAGGTAAGCTGGGGAATCTGCAAAGCCAGCCACTGCTTTTGGCTTCCCAACCAACTGCAGAATTAAAGGAAAGGGTTCGGGACATGGAGGGAGTTCAGGCAGAAGCTTGTTGCCCTCCTGGCCCAGCCACTGACTGCTGTAGTAACTGTCACCTTTCGAGCTGGCTTTCCTCATCTCAGGAATGCTTCTACGAACCCCATAACAATCACTGACAGGACAGCATAGAGAGCACAGAGAGGGAAGGCTGAGGACAAAGGTTGTGTAACTTCTAGTTGTCCAAGCCAGCTAACAGAGGTGAGCCATGTCATCACGAATATGCCTGGGCAGGTACATTGCCCTCTGGTTCACTGGCACCAGCCACAGTTTACTTGTTCAGAGCAATTGAGCTTTAAAGAATGGAGGGGACGAAGACCGCTTTTTTACCTTTACCAGCTTGGTGGTTAGGTGTGCACTTCTTGGAAACAAAAAAAAGTCTTGAGTACAGTCAGGTGCTACCCTCTTCCACCCACTGCCTTCTCCTGCCACCCCAGGAAGAACATTAAAAAATATACAACTCCAGGTATAGAGGTAGCTTCTATCTACATGATGCAGATGAAAGAGAAGGCATCGGAATCCAGGTCAGGTCTTAGCCCCACTGCTGCTTCTCACCTGCCCATGTTCAGGGCAAACTAACTTGCTGGGTTCTGGTGGATAGGAGAATGAATATAAAACTCATCATAGGCAGGATTAATGGCCATTCCCTTCTGCCCACACCACATGGTTTAGATGGTCTGTGCTTAGGGAATTCTGGAGAGAAGGCTGTGGGGTGGGACACTCATGCAGGGCTTCTCAGACAAGGTAGAACTCAGGAGGAGGTGAACTGGAAGCCAGTGAAACTTCAGGCTGATGAAAAGCTGGGAATAACTGGTGGGACTAAGAATCTTTGACACTCTAGGCCAGGCCACAGCCAAGGGTGCATGAATCCGTTAACCCACAGAGAATTCGTTAACCCACAAATAGGGTAAGAGATTTGCCTGGTGATGCCTATTTCCACAAGTAAGGGAGGCAGGATAAGGAGCTGGGCCTCCTAACACCCAGGCTAAGGCTCTTCGGAATGCCGTCTGGAGAGGTCTGGCTTTGGCCAGACACAAAGGGCAGTGGTTTGCTGGAGGGGTGAGGAGAGCTCAGAACTGGGTGTCTTCCCCACCAGGGACTGGCACTGGAAGAGGGTGGGGGCTTCACTCTGTTTTGTTTAAGCAGCTTCCTCAGCTGTCATGGGGCTGATTGAGACCACCAGAGGGCTCCTCCCAGGAGCAGGTAAACACACCCCAGCAACTAACCTCCTCTACCTGCTCCGTTCCCCTCTATCCAGGGTACTTCCCTGCTTTCCCCTCTTTTGCCACATTCTGGGCAGGCTGTGCCCTTCCACCCCAACTCAGAATCTGCTCCCGAGTGTTCACTCTGGGCCTTCTCTGGGCTCCCACCTCCCGCGTGGACTCACCGCCCTACTCCATCCTGGCAGGAGGGACTCAGAGGCTGCCTCGATGTCTGGGGGTGGCCCTGGCAAAGGAGCTCATCTTCACTGGTCGACGCCTGAGTGGGGCACAGGCCCAGGCCCTGGGGCTGGTGAACCATGCTGTGGCCCCAAACGAGGAGGGCGATGCTGCCTACCACCGGGCACTGGCACTGGCCCAGGAGATCCTACCCCAGGTGTGGTGGCAGCCCCAGCAGGAGGGTGGGGAGGCTGGGGTGCCCTCTGAGGCCACACAAGATCTGTAACAGATTTATAAGATTAACCCTCTTCAGAGATTTTGTATCCAGTCACCCAGTAAACAAATGTAGAACAAGTTTTACATTAAAATGAAAACTGAATTCTCAGGGACTGGAACTAAATGGGCTTGCAAATCCTCAGAACAGTAAGAATACAACTCCCTGAGGTGGTGGTAGTGTTGTATACCTGTGCTGTACACTACAGCAGCCACTAGCCACATGTAGTCATTTAAATTAAAAAATTTATTTTTTCACACTTTAAACATTTCAAATACTAATAGCCACATGTAGCTAGTGGCCACTGTATTGTACAGTACATTAGTATGTCCCAAAAGCTGAAAAATCAAGATTCTAAAGCAGATGAAGAATGACCAGCCAGTCTTCCCAACCATAACACACGGTGGAGAAATTCTTGAAATGTATTATGTAGGGCATGTTAGGAGCCACGAATTTTTTTAAGCAGTCTCTCAAAAAGATTAGAGGAGACCCAGAGGGTTCATTTAGGCCTCACCTATGTGTAATCCTACCAGTGATATGCCCAGAGCCTTCAGCAGGCCACCCAGGATCTGGCTGATGGGGCCTCTCAGGACCTGAGAAACTGTTGGCTTCTCACTCTCAGAGGACCCAGAGGAGGTCCCTCCCATAAAGATATGAGAGCAGCTGAAATGGAGCTAGGTTTTGTTTTACTCATTTATAGTAAATACTGACTTAGCCCATATGGAGCACCTTCCACCCATCAGACACAGTCCTAGGTGCTTTAGTAGTGTCTCAACTATTAGAACAATCCAGGGGAGCTGATTACCTCCATTGTGCTTATGATACAATAGATCCAGAAAGGTTAAGTGACCCACTCAAGGTCACAAAAAGTGATTGCAATACAGGAAGAAAAAGACAATACTGGTATTTTGGCATTTATTTTGCATAATACAGAATATAAAAACTGGTATTTTCCTCTAGGGTGCAGAATATATACTAAATTTTAGAAACTGTGAAACTAAATATAATGCATTGCAGATAGAAAAATTTACAAATGTTACAAAACAGTTAAAATATCTGTAAAAAGGTAAAAATGTTAACCATATATTATCATTTTAATATTAACAGGTAAAGTATTTGAATTGATCATTAAAATAAGTTTTATTTTGGGAAAAGTTTTTATCTCCCTTAAATTTAAATAATCCTATCATTTGGTAACTTTGAGGACTTCTTTGAAGGCACAGATTATGTAACTTTTAAAAACTGATAGTTTGGTTTGAAAGAGTTTTCTTTTTTAGTTTTATCACATATAAATGGAGAGTCTGATGCTGTTAACTGGACAAGTTTAAGTTTAATGCTGTGAGGTCTATTACACTTGGTCAGAAAGTCTCTGAACTAATACAAAACTCTGACTCAATCAAGGTAGCGACTGACTGCACTTCCACAGAGGGGGCCTGCCTAGCAGGACTTGTAGACTGTAGGGTTTGTCTCTTTGCATAAACTGAATACTTGTGGTTTGAGTTTGATGTTTCAGTTTGGATTTTTTCCACAAAGATAATTACTACTGTTTCAGTACTTAAAAGAAGCTTTGTATATCACAACACCAGCATCTGAAAAATGAGTACTGCAATTACTAGCCCCAGTGCTGGGACATTCTGGTGCAACCTGAAACACAAATAACTTCCGGCAAGTTACTGGGTGCTCAGAATGAGAGGGTTCTTGGACAGGGTGAGTGCCAGAGATGGTGTGGTAAATGGCTACCCTCTATTAGACAAATCAGCACGATTAGGGAGCTAAATGGTTCCAGAAATTAGAGCCCAGAAAAGATTGTCAATAAACACAAGGTCTGCAGTTTCACTCAGATTTTCCCCTTAAGTAGTAAATATACATTATTCTTTGAATATGGGTTTGGCTATATTTTATGCTTGAACATGAAGGGATAGAATATACTGTGACCTGCAGGGTGGCCAATGTTCTCATTTCCAAATAACAGGAAAGTAACAAACATATTTATAATAAATAAATCTATATTTATATATTCCCATGCTCAGAAAAATGTTATTTTCAACACACACCCAAAACTTATCTAGTTTTTTAGTTTTCTTTGGTGAAAAATGTTTATTAGGTAGTTACCTAAATAATAGCAACACATATTCAAAAGAAGCAAATCAAAGAAGAGCCAGAAGGGCATAAGATAAAAAGCAAAAGTGACCCAGGTGACCTTGTTTACCCAGAGGTGTCCCAGTTACAAGTCCAATGTCCTGGTAACTCTTCAGTCACTGCCAAACTAGGACAGTTGGTTACTCTAAAGTTCTCAATTCCCCAATTCTCCTCCCTAGAAGTGACCACTCTTCCATAAATTTTCACTGCATATATGACATTACAGTCACATACTAAGTTCCTTTAAAGGATGGTTTCCAGGATAAGGAATACACCTTTAGAGGCTAATCCAGTTCTAACAGACATTTAGAAAACATGACATTAAAATATACATTAAGTAAATAATTCCAACAGCACGGAAAAGCATAGAACAAAAAAATGAAGCTTTCCATGCTCCTGAACCTTCTCCCCAAACGCATGTCATACCAACCCCCTTTACACAAATGGAGCAATATGCACACTGCTATGTATTTGTTTTTTGCACCTAAGAGCTTGGAGAGTTTCCCATTTCAGTGTATATTTATCTATATCATTCTTTTGAACTGCATGCTTTTTCATTCATGATACAGATATGCCATCATTACTTAACCAGTATTCTAATAATATTTATGTTGCTTTTATCTTTCTGCTACTGCATAATGACTGGAGTGAATATTGTACATCTTCGTGCACTTCTACAAGTAAATCTGTAAGGTAGATTCCCACATGGAATTGCAACATCAAAGAGCATGTGCATCTAACATTTGCCAGTTCCTGCCAAACTGCCTTCCTTAAAGCATTGTGCCAATTTACTTTCTTTTCAATAATGTACACAAACACCTGTCTGCTAAATCTCAGCAATTTTATAATGGGCATTACCAACATTTTTTTTGCCTAGTCTTAGGTGGAAAGGGGCACCGCACTGTTTCAACTTGCATTTCTCTAAGAGTAAAGCTTATCATCCCATGTTTACATTTCTTTTCCTATGAATTACCTTTTCATGCCCTTGCAAATATGTTTAAAAATATACCAGCTTTTTGTAAATCAATGAAATTTGCTATTAAGTATCACAAATGCATTTTACCAGTTTTTACTTTTGCCTTTTATTCATGATATATTTCCCCATCTGAAGTTTTCATTTATGGCTTCTATGCTAACAGACTTAAACAATAATCCTTTTTCTAAGTCTACTTACAAAAATTTTAAAGTACTACAGCATTAATATGTGAAATAAGTGCACTCTTTGCCTGGAAGTAGGGCTAGGGACATAATGCCAGGCCTGCTGTGGCACAAGTTAATTGAAAGCAAGATAAGTGAAGCAAAGACAGCTACTCTGATGCTTTTGCTTCCAAGTGGCCATGCAAAATGTCAGACTCCAAAGCCCAAGTTCCTAATCTTGACCTTTTTTTATTCTGCTTAAGTGAAACTTGCTTGCAGTGGAGGCTTGCATGTGCTAAGATGAGAGGGGCAGAGGAGGGGAGCAGCAGTTGGGAAGGTGACTTAGAATTAAATCCAAGCTTCACCACCAACGCCCTGGACAAACATGGCCAAGTGCTTCCCTTCCCTGACCCTCGATTAAAGATGGCATCATCCTGGAAGGGGGCAGCACCACTAGACAAGTCTGTGGGTAGGAAAGCATTTTGTAAATTGTAGATGTATATGTTAGAGGGACAGATTAAATGACAATAACAAGAACCCCAGATGGTTAGGATTGGGGAGGTCAGGGATTAGTCAGGAACATCAACTGAGATCTAATAGGTACGAACACTAACAAACCTCACATTGTCATTACAGCTGGAACTCAACCTACACCTCTGCCTCCCTGTCCACGAGTCTCCTGTCACCATGGAGTTAGTGCCTCTCTTTACTTCAAATCCCCTATCAGCACTCAGCCAAGCCTTTTCTTTCCCCTAGGCCCCCATTGCTGTGCGGCTGGGCAAAGTAGCCATTGACCGAGGAATAGAGGTGAGAAGGTTCAGGATCAGGATATGGGTGCACTCAGTGGGGTGGCGGGGCGGCAGTGCTTCCATGGCTCAGACAGCACAGCTGGGAATTTAAGAACTGGATTCTCTAACAGACTTTGAGTCTGACTTCTCTTTCTGGGCCTTAGTTTACCCATCTACAAAATGGGAAGTTTAGTCAGGTGATATTCCAAACTACATTAAAGGAAATTGAGGTTCAGAAAGGGTAAGTGATTTACTCAGGGTCATAAAGCGAGTGAGTATAAGAACCCAAGTCTATGTATGTCCTGGGCCCTGTTCTCAGGTCTGTGCTGGTGGTCAGTAATGTGGCCTCAGAAGGACAAGGCTTGGGGTGGTGCCCTGTGTGCAGCTAGTACAGCCCTAGACACTGACTTACCCATTGGTTCATCATCTGAATCTAGACCTGAGCTGGGAACTGGAACACAGAGATGAGTCAGACATGGTCATCACCCCCAGTTTGGGGAAGGGGACAGAGAGAGACACAAATCACTAATAAAAGGTAAGGATGCCCAGCAAGCATCCCGGAAAGGTTAGAAGCTGTGCTGTTCTTGTGGCTGGTGGCCTGCTGCAGTGGGTAGTGCTGGGTTACAGAATGCTTTCCAGAGTTGGGCCTTGGGAAGGATGAGAATCCAGAAAAAAGGAAAAGTATAAGCAAAAGCACAGAGGTACATAAATAAACAACTCCAGTGAATGGGAGTAAGGGGTGAGACAATGTAACATAGTGGTTAGGGGCACGGGCTCTGGTGCTGGACTGTCTGGGTCAAAGATTCATATACTGTTGTAACCCTGATTGATTCACTCCACCTTCCTGTGCCTCCGGTTTCCCAGCTGCAGAGTAGGGACTGTAACCCCTGTTGTGAAAGTAGGCAAGCTCACTTGGGCGCATGCAGGGCTTGCGTCTCAGAATGGTGCTTCTACATGGTAACAGTAAGGTCTGCACAGCAGAGGCTGGCAAGTTGCCAGAGGCCAGGTCATCAAGACCCAAGATCTTAGTCCTGAGGGCAATGGAGAGCCTGCTGAGTTCGCGCACAGGGGCGTGGTGAGGCAGCCAGATGGGAAGCTGGGAACACAGCTCATGCTCGGCCTCCTCAGCTGCACAAGCCATGGGCCATTCTTCCCAGTAGCTCTCACAGCGCCCAGGCATCACTGTTAGGGGTGGTGTTCCCTCTCCAGGTAGGGAATTCCGCATCAGTTCATCTCTGGCATACACCAAGCCTCAGTAATTCTCTGCTGGAGGAAGCCATGGAACAAAAGGGAATGGTTTAGACAGTAGGGCAGGGCTGCCTCCCAGTGTGGATGGGGGTGGACAGGTCACGCTGATACAGGCCTGCTTCTTTCTCGCAGGTGGACATTGCATCAGGGATGACCATTGAAGGGATATGCTATGCCCAGGTACGTGGTTGCTGCCCGTCCATGCATGCTGGTCAACAAAGGTCTACCAGAGTGTGGGGGCTTGTGCAATACATGACCACCTGAATAGGTTTATTGAATAGGCATGTAAAAGCAGTGGGCAAGCATAAGTTAATGTGACAACACCAAAAGTCAAGACTGTTCTACTCCCACCTCACAATCACAACCCAAAAAGTCAAGACTACGTTCTACTCCCATCTCACAATTAGTCTCTCGTGTTCCCAGGGGGATCTCTCTCTCTATTAATGGTGGAGCATCCTGTCCTACCTAGTGCCCAGAGAATCGCAGAATACAGAGGTACTCGACAGGAGGAATGGTTCCTGCCGTCTCTGCCAGTGGCCACTGTAGAGGCAAGGCTGAGGCTGGGAAGCCAAAGCCTTGGTTATAGCTGCAGGCTGTGTGTGTGGGATGGTAAACTTGGTGGTGGGATGGTAAACTTGGGGCTAACCGATTTAAGCACCTAACTTCTGGGTAAGTCAAAAACACTGATACTCAAGTTACCAAATACCCGAAATACTCCTAAATAGAGGGTCCTGGGACTTGCCAGATCTGGTGTGAACCAGCTACACACTAGGATTCAAAGTCAGATTTCTCTACTGAGCAGCCTCAAGAGTACTGCAGGGGATTGTGAGCTCTCTGGAGGCATTATAGGCCATGTGCAAGCAGTTAATGTGACAGGCCACAGATGCTAAGAGAGGCAACCTGCTTCCCCAGGAGACCAAGAAGCCACTGAGGCCTACATCTTTGCATGGCCCAACATCAGAATCCAGAGACAATGCAAAAGACTTGGACTCTGGCTTTGTCAAGGAATGGACAAGCTTGAACAAGCTGTTACTGACCTCTGGCCCTTCTCCCCCAAAACTAATACTCCATATGTTGTTTCAGAATATTCCCACCCGGGATCGGCTCGAGGGCATGGCAGCCTTCAGGGAGAAGCGTCCCCCCCGATTTCTTGGCGAGTGACTCCCATTTAACTTTAAGCATGGAAGATGTGCCTCTGAAAGGGCAAGATCTAGAAGGAAAATTTGCAGTGTGACTATTCTCATCATCTCACCTCTCTGGGCTTCAGTTTCCTCACAAGGACAATGATGGGTATAAAATGACTGGCATGGTACCTGGTACTAAGGTGCTGACCCTGCCACCCACAGCTCTCTGTATCATTTCTCTCCCTGGTTGGAAAGTCGCTGGGGATGGATTTGCTTTGGAGAAAACCTCTCTCTCCCTACTCTACTGATAAACTAAGGATTAAAAAACAGACTCTCTGGACCTTTGTATGGCTGGCTCTCAGGCCTGACCTCTGCCTTTCAGTTAGCAGGTGCTCACCAGAGATGGCGGGAGGTTATACAAACATCCCGATTGCTTTCTCTGTGCAGTAGAGATAATAAGGACACCCTGGCAGTAGTTGAACAGGCATCAGGAATGAGACTGCAGATTCCAGCTCTCTGCCAGTTACTCACTGTATGGCTCTACTTCCTTATCTGCAAAATGAAACTGTTGTGACTTAAAAAATGTCTCATGTTCAATAAACCTGTGTTATTATTAGTGTACGGTACTGTGAGAAGTAAATTAAATCACTATAAAAACCTTTTGTAAACTATCGGATGGTAGGCAAATCTTTGACGGTTGCATTAGATATCTTTCAGGAGCATTGAGAAGGGAGCAGTTAACTCACAGGGAGAACAGGGAGTTAGGAAATGCGCAGGCAACATTGGAGTTGAAGCCTAAAGGTATTAACAGGCATTTGAGACTAAGAAAAGGAAGGTTGAGGGGAAAAGCACGAGCAAAGGTAAGCAAGAGGATGAGACACTTGGTAACAAAGGGCGGCTGATAGACAAATATGCACACTGTTCTCATTAACACTCCTCCTGCGCAAGGCAGGGGAAGAGAAAGCTGCCTCTGGCTGAGGCCTTGTGATGATTCTACAACCAATCTGAGCTTCCTGAGCCTACGCCTGGCCTAGAATCACTAAGTCCTGAGCATGACACACTACCAGTAACATTGTTGATGTGCTGCTAAATATCACAGTGTCCCAAGATTGTACTCATTTCCTGGAAGGGAGAGTAACACAGAAGAGCCCAGGCCTTAGAATAAGGACCTATGGCATGAGCTGTAACTACTCGGAAAAGTAGCCACCTTACTGAACTTCGTTTTCATCTGTTAAGTGGGGAAAATAAAACTGACCTGCCCCAGAGCACTGTTGTGAATGAGATAAAGCTTGGAGGGCTACCTAGTATAGCAGTGGACCTCAACAGGCACTAGTTCCCACCCACATGCTCACATTATTGAAAGCTAGTGATAGCATGTCCTGAGGCACTAGGACCCGGGCCAGGATGCGACAGCCCTTCAGTGTCACGCAGGAAACTGGGAGCAAACAAGGTGCAGTCTCAGGGCTGTAGAAGGGAACAGGTTACAGGCTCCTCTTATGCAGCAGGACACCATGTGGGGTGAGGGAAGAAAACTAAGTAAGCAATAGTTTGGAATATGGTTGAGAGTAAGAATAAGCTTCATTTGAGTCCAAAAGATAGTACATAGCACTCCAGTTAAGAGTCTGGCCAGCTAACAGCACAAAAATCTAGTCCTAAAATACACTACTAATCAAAAAGGAATTTACTTTTGTTCTTTGAAAAACCTGAACAGATGAATGGCAAAACATGTTTTGCTCATTGTCAATAATAAGACAAGGAAAGACTTTGTACTCTATCGCGCAGAGGGGATTTGCGGAGGACACAAACACACTGCAGCTGAGCTGGCTCTCAGACAAGCCCGTTTTTCTTGTCCATGCTAGGTAAGATCACCTCTTGCAATCTTTGGCAAAGTCTTTTTCTGGCCCTTCCTCTTCCTCACAATTTTGGTCACAGTCCCATTCTAATTAAAGTTCTGAGGGATTGAGATTTATAATTCCTTTATGATCCTTCACCTAAACACTCTGTTCTCAGTCCTAAATCCCATCACTCCCCACCAGCACACCCACTTACACAGAATGTAACGCTCACTTAGGTTAATGTGTAAAAGTTGGAGGAAAAAAGGCCAAAGGTAGAATATCGAAAATTATAAAAACTATAGTTTTCTTCCCTCACCCCATAGGTGGAAGCAACTTTGGTACCAATAAAAAATTTTTTTTCTTGTTCCTCCCCTCCTGCAGTTCTGCCTTCTGAACAACACATTTATAAGCATGTATTTCCCCAAACATTTTTCATGTACTTCTTTTCCAATGGCTTCATATAACCCATAATAACAACTCAGGAGATTCTTCTAAACATTTAACATAAATACCAAGGTTTCCCTGTAGGTCTCTCCCCTTCTTCTGATGAATTTCCAGAGGTAAGAAATTGGCCAGGGCTCAAGAGAGGGGACTGGCATACCTGTTCCAACTCCAGCTCACAGGGCTTCTCATGGGGTCCTCCAAGGCTTGATTTTTCAAAACTGCTGAAGGGGAGTTCCCAGGATGACTCCAACTTGGTTTGGGATTACAGCTATCATACAAAACCAACCTTTTTATAATTTACAGAAAATCAACCATAAGGCCAATATAAGGCGGCCAACCACAAACTCCACTGACGATAGGTTTCAACATTCAGTTGCTGACAGACAGGGCAGAAGACTGGATGCTGACGGACAGAAAGCACCTTGAAGCCACTTAGGTTAAGAATGGCACTCAACACAGAGAGAGTCTCTGGTAATTCATGAAGTGCATTTTGAAGTCCGCCAGAATGGAGGCTGCAATCTGTTGTGCTTGGGGCTCTGCTTCACTGCGCTCCTGGATGTCACACACAAGCTGCAATCCTCCTTCTTCAACTAACATTTTGCAGTATTTACTGGCTGAAAGAAAAACAAGCAAAAAGCTTAATAGACAAATTGACATTTTAAATATTTCCAAGTGACCACATTCATCTTTTTGAAGAAAGGGTACAAAGGTTTAAGCCCTGTGACACAGAAATTAACAGATAAAATGAGTCAATTCAAAAGAAACATGTCAAAACTTAAATAATGCTGGATTTGTGTAATGTGATAACAGATGATTATTTTAGTGTGCTTACTTCCAGACAAATCTGTGCTTCAAGAACTTCTTTTATTACAAGAAAACACTTTTTAGGTTCAAGCAATATGCTGAGCTAGATAACCTAAAACATACCAAATGCTGGAGAAAATGTAACTGAAACTATGTAAAATGCACAGTTGAGTGTATCAAGTAAACATACTGTCTAGGAGTCAGGCACAAAGAGCAGAAAGCACCGAGGTTCATGTAACAAAACCTGCAGCTATCCTATCCTGGGGCAGAAAGGGAGTGTCAGTTTCAGTAACCCAGGAGTTTAGATTTTAACTTAGGAAATATAACAAAATCATGAAATGCATAAAAGCTGGTCATCAAAGGGCCAGAGGCAAGAGAAGGGATAAGGCAATGAAACATCTTTCTCTTAGCCTGGGCTCTGGGTGGCTATACAGGAGTGGGGAGGGGAGGTCACTCCCGAGAATTCATAACCATAGTCTCAAGTGGGTACAGGGTTTGAATTTACCTAAACATTCTGGGAACCACTGAGCTGAGAAATTAATAAAAATCAGTCCAATCCCAAGGAAACCTCCAGAAGTATCTTACAAGCATATACCAAACTGCTGAAGGGACATGTCCACAACTCAGTTAAAAAGGATTCTCTTAACACAAAAGCTGATTGATTGGACACAAAGAGAGAAATAATGATCTAAAAACATATCTAAAGCAATTACCAAGAATGCAGCACAAAGAAATAAGAACATGGAAACCATTTTATTTTTGTTTTCGTTTTTTGAAGGTTACACGATGTGTAGGACAGAATGAGAGAAGATACAAGATAATTCCATAAGGAAGGAATAGGGGCAGGGAAATATTTTAAAAGAAAATAGCCAAGAATTTTCATCTACTTTGGAAAGTGTAACTATGACCTGAAATCCAGAGGCCATCTAACACAATACTGACTAAATACAACAAACAAAATCAAGACAATAAAGTCAGAAAAAATATTTTAGATTTCCTTCCAATTAAAAAGAATACCAACAAAACAGCAGACAAAAAGTGAATAAAGGACATCAACAGAAAATTAAGGAAAGGGAAATGACTCAAATAAAATATGAAAAGATGGTTAACCTCATTTAAAATAAATGTCAACTGCACCTATCACTAACATCTTAAAATAAGAAAGTTCAATCAAGCATTGTTTTTGTAAGAATGTAAGGAAATGGGCAAGCTCCTGTACATTACCAAGTGATCAACTCTCTAGGACAGTTTAGCAACACTTATTAAAATTACAAATGTTCTTAACATCTGACTCAGCAATTATAAGAATTCTTCAAATCAACTCACACACTTGCAAAATGATGTATTCCATATAACAAATGCTATGTATTTAGTGCTCATACTAATACTATGCTATGTACAATGCTGGTACCATGAGCCAATGTTTTAAATGCTTAAAAAATAGTAACACACATAATTCTCCTAACAGTCCTATGCAATAGGTACTTTTATCCCCATTTTATAGATGAGGAAACCAGGGCACAGAGAGGTTAAGTAACTTGCTCAAGTTTGCACAGAGACCAGGAATACAGCACAGATAGTCTCGTTCTGGCATCAGTCCTCTTAATCATCACACATTTATCTTTTTACCCTCCTAGTTGTAAAGACTGAACGAGTTACTCTTAAGTAGCTTACAGCACTGCCTGGCAGAGTTATGCCCTCACCTAAGTTCTAGTTGTTGTTATAGTTACTGGTGTTGTAACTAAATATAGTGAAGTCTGCATCAGGGCCATTCTGACTGACTGATCTTTCTCTATCTACTCATATGCCAGCACCATTTACAGTAATTTTTTATAACTTAAAAACAAGTGTTAGGGCAAGCTCCTAAAATCTATTTTTTTGGTCAGTTCTTTCCTGTTTATTCTTCCAGATTAACTTACAGTAACTTCAGATCCCTCATCTCTTACCCATTCACTTGAATTGTATTCAAACACCAAAAAGAACTGACACCTGTATGGTAAATCTTTCCATCTAATATGTCTCATAATTATCTCAGGCTTTTAAACTATTTCTCATAGTTTCTGCATATAGATCTCATCACTTCTTGGACCTATTTTTAGATATTTTGTGCTTTTGTTGACAGTTAAACCTTTAATTTATTCTAAAAGTTATCTCTTGGGTTTTTTTAGTATAAAATTATAGCCTGTATTTCTTTCATAATAAAAGCAAAAACTTTTACAATCCTTAGCAACGGCTGTAAGCCAAAATTTTCAAAGGGTAATTTAAAACCTCAAAGCATGGAAAAACACTTAATCTGATTGGGAAACAACTGACACCTGGTCCCCCAGCCTCCCACATATCTTTACAAAGGGGCAGATCTTTATATTACTATAGGAAGAGTATTTAAGATAAACTGTGGAGTGAAAAGTTCAAGCTGTAAGATAGCATGCACAAAATGAGCCCATTTTGCTTTAAAACATCATGTTCGTAAGCAATATCATGTATACAGAAAAGTATCTGGAAAGATACAGTTCCCAAGGTATTTTATACACAGTCCTT